TAGACATTAACACCGTTAAACGCCGGCTTAGTGGTTTAAAGGTTGAGTGTTCGCGCGCGAGACCGATGCGTCCTGGGTTCGAGTCTCGCGAGGCGGGATCGTGAATACGCACTGCTGAGTCCCACAATAACATGAAGCGGCCATCCAGTGCTTCCAGGTTCTTTATGGTGGTCTAGTTTCAATTGACTCATGATCTCAACTATTAAAATTACTATAATATCCACAAAAACCCTTCTGACACATAATTAACAAGTGTAAGATTTCTAACGGGTTCAAAGTTTATTTTTGTATTATTTTTTTCATAAGTCGGACACTACAAAATTTTAAACTATTTCTTTAAAGCTTAGTTGAGAGAATGTAGTAGAACTCTGACGTATGCTACTTATACCAACAGATATAAGTCGTATGTAGCACCGATTGGAAGTGAAATGCCTGGCAATGGAAGACTGAAATGAAGACAACAATTGGGTTAACAACAGATTTAGAGGAATAATGAAGTATGTTAACGATGATGCAAAGAAGATGTGCGAATGATGTATTTAATGTATAATTTTTGATATTTTACGAACCCACTGTGTGATTTTGCATGATACATCAAATTAGTTTCCCCTGCATTGCCAAATCACCAACTGAATAATGCGGAAGTTAGAAGTTAAAAACGTTAAACTTCATTTGGAAATAGAATCACCAGAACCATTTTAGAATCGATACTTGATTTGTGTGTGGACTATGATACTGCTCAGACCGGTGCCTACGACCTACAGGTCTAATCCACAAGACAGTGGAGCAACGTCAGGAGATGCAGTATCATGGTAGCCGATGACCAACAATAGGTCCATACGCCTTTGATTTCCTCAGGATCCTGAATCTCATATGCAAAATTGTTTTCGAATAAGGATTTCCCAACTCCCCTAGGTGGATCCTCCATATCCACCAACCCGGTTAAAGCGCCGGACATTCGCTTTTCGTCCTCTCAATTTCGTAAACAACAGTAATGCCGCAAGCAGGCACTGGGTAGGACCTACCTGGTAGAGGCTGTATACGCGTAGCCATGTGAGAGCATTTGGAAATAAAAAGCTAACTCTCCTCACCCTTGTTGTACCAGGGCATTTGAAGGCCGAAGGCACTAGACCTCATTATTGAGAAGCGACTTTAAACTCGTAGAAGCTTCAAATATGAACCTTCATCAGCCAATATCATAGACAGAAACGGTAACATTGAGCTATTATGGAAAATGTCAATCTTTCTTTAAGGCTGATAAACAGACCTGTCAGGCTTATCCTCCATACACGTAATCGAATCTAAGTCTTTCAAGTTTTCGAACGATTACAGTGCCAATGATTTAGGATCCACTTTCATGTCAATTCATTATAGTATGATTTTCATCAAGTATATCAGACGTTAATCATTCACTTTCACTTAACTTGAATCAATTCCTTAAAAGAATAAGATTAGGAAGAAAACAAAACTATTTTTAGGATGAAACTGATGCTAACAAAAAATCGCTTGTTATCCAAGTTTCAGATTCATTCCTTTGATGAAACTGAATTCAAAAAATTCTATGACAGATGATTTGATATTGATTTATTAGTCGAGAATAAATCTGGGGGGTTTGATCACAACTTTATTAACGAGTGAATAACATACTAAACTTTGTATCTTCCAATTGCCTTTATTCTAAATGACTTCTGATTATATATAGAATAGATAGAATGTAGCTAGTACTAGAATGAAGAACGAGCATTCCGTCCTATTTGAGACTTGTCAGCTAAATTATCAATATTTTACTTAATTACGCCTGTTACTTCCAATGGAATATAGGCCACCAACCAGCATTCTCCAACTCACTCTGTCTAGGGCCTTCCTTTCCAGAAAAAAATTATTCAAATTATCAACAACGGGTTACTCCAAATCACTATGCAATAAATGAGACTTATATTTGTTTTTAATAGTTGAGATCATAATTCAATTGAAGCTGGACCATCATGGAAAACCGGGAAGCACTGGATGGCCGTTTCGTCCTAGTCTGAGACTCCTCAATATTACGCATCCATGATCCCGCTTACGAGATTCAGAGTTAGTCATTAACATCGTTGGATGCCGGCTCAGTAGTCTAGAGGTTAAGTGTTCGCGTGTGAGACCGATACGTCCTGGATTCGAATTTCGCGACGCGGGATCATGGATGCGCACTTCTGCGGAGTCCCATAGTAATACGAAACGGCCGTCCAGTGCTTCCAGGTTTCCCACGATGTTCATTTCGTTACCGCCACTTTGGTTATTAAACTAAACTTATAGTTTAGATGTCATTAACATTGAAAGTGTTTTTGTTTGATGTGGAAAATCACATTATCATGTACATGTATATGATAAGAGAAAACACAAGGCATGAAAAATTAAATTCTATGGATGATTAACCACACTATTACTATACTATTGTTAATTACCTTTTTCTATACTTTTCCATCTCCATTTAAATTTCATTATTATTAATACAAAGTGTGTATTTATGCAAATAAGTGTGGTAACTTCCGTAATTTATCTTTTCACTTTGTTGTAATGAATTATGTAAATTATGTTTACTACATGAGTTTTGATTTCGTATAACACTTATTATTATTATACTACTTCCTATTAGATAGACATTATGAATGATAAGTAGTATGTAATGGTGTGTCAGTCAGCAACAACATAGAACTTCGTACGTACATACATCAGTTCAAGTTGTCATACCACACTAGCACAGGGATACAATTGTCAATTCAAATCTTATAGTGGTAGAGGTATCAAATGTATGAGCAGTAATCGGAAACATTAGAGTTTGAAGATGTGATTCAAGGAGTATAATCCAGCGTACGCTTAACCTCTAGACCATTAAGCTAGTATCTAACCATCTAACTTCAACCGATCCACGAAATCGCGCCACCATCCACTGTTGTCTTCAGTGAGTTATTGCCTTAAATGGTTGAACTCCACTAGTTAAAAATGTGATTCCTTGACTACGTTTCATTGAAGTCTTTCTCCAGTTAGGATTGGTAGTAATTCGCAAAAATATTTCACAACTTCAACTGGCATCGGTAAACACACGTATTCTAATAATCTGAATAATTTATCTATCAGTGTCTCCTTGCGGGAGGTATGAGACCGCCTGGAATGGTTCATGTTTATCATACAATCTCAAGGATGACAAAACTGCTGGTCATTTTATAACTTGTATTGTAAGAATATTGTATATCAGGAAAAAATCATTTCGACTTTTGTTCAACATACTATGACGATTACTAACAGATCATTTTCATGTGAAAGAGCACAGGTCAACAATTAATTTGTGCTCTAAATCAGATGATAAGAGAATTTATACTACGGCTTCAAACGCAGATGTAATTTTGGTGAATAACAACCTATTCAACTTCTTGACCACCTGATCCCAAAAATGGAGCATCAAGTTGTACATATTCTTATCTGGGCTTTTCAGATCGATTTCTTTGAACAGAAATCATTTCAGTTCATTCAGACAATTCGAACTTACTTAATCACGCCTGTTACTCATTGTAGAATATAAGCCACCGATCAAGATTCTCCAATCTACTCTGTCCTGTGCAAATATGTCTTACAGTGTCAAATCTTGTTTTTCATGCGGTAAATTGTGTCTTCATAGTTTATATCACTTTCGCTGCACAAGTTGCCACAGATGTGGAAAGGTTGGGCATATACAAGAAGTTTGTAAAAGTTCCAAGATTTTGAACAGGAATCAACTAGGTTAAATAGGAGCTTAGGTTTATTATCACTTAATACCACCTCCAGCCAGTACCTTATAATCCATACAGAAGCCAATTAGCAGCACGGGCAATTTTCATTTATTTATTATCGATACTAGGAGCATACAGTCAATTATCTCTAAGAGAAATCTATTTTTTCTTTATAATGATGTTCATCTAGAGCCTACCATTAGTGTAACTACCGGTATCATTAACCATCAGTTACCGATTATCGGTAAAGTGGATAGTAGATTAAAAAAGAGGGGAGTTGTGTTTATGTTTCTTTCCTTGTTAGTGAGTACAGTTCATCTATGATTGGATTAATGGTTCTTGAATTACTGGCTGTTCTTTATGCAATAGTTTTTCTAGTTACTCATTAATCAAAGATCAGCTATGAAAACGCTTGACAACCATGGGACGTATGAAAATTCAACTTGTACATTTCCAGATAAAGGGAAAACCCATCTTCTTGAGGCGTCGACTAATTCCATATGGTTTAAGAGAGGCTGTAAAAAAAGTTAGTTACACTGGTTGGGAAAAAGATAATGATTTCATTTAGGCTACTCTCATTATAAGTTCATTAATGGCTGATGGAAAAATACCTAGAATTTGTAGTGACTTCTATCTGACGCTTAGTAACAAAGTTGTACCACTGAAGAGACGGAAGAAATACTACTACAAATTACAGTGATCAAAATATCTCTCTAAAGTAGGTCTAAAATGTTGATATTTACAAACTCCACTGGATGAAAATTCGAGGGAATTAACTATTATTAATACACTATTTGGACTGTTCAATTACAAGTTCTTATCGTTTGAATGAAACGTTTCACCTGAAATATCCAAGTTATAGATCAGATTATTACTGATCTTGATGGCTTTGAAGATGATATCGTATTCCAGGCTCAAAATACAGTTTCGGCTTAATATGGGGACTCTTCAGCATTGACCATCCACGAAATCATAGGTGATTGAACTCAGAACCTATGGTGAATTGTGCAACTATTTTTCATTATCTGCAATAGATAATGGATGAACGCTAAAAGTCACAGCTCCTACTACGTATTCCAACATTAATAATTTCATTTACACAAAAATGCATGAACTGTTAAGAAGTTACTGAAAAGAAGACCTTTCATTCAGTTCAAATATTTTATTTATTTATTTAAACACATAAACATTGTTACAAGGAAGCAACAAATATATATGCACTACACAAAGTAGTTACCATCAGATTTGTGTGGAGTGGGACACCACCCGGGTACCCAAACCGAAGTACGTGGTTTTACTAGAAGGTCACTTTCTGAGCCCCTGAACCAGTAGTCTAATTCACAAGGCAGTGCAGCAACATTAGGATACCCAGTCCCATAGTACATGGTGACCAACAATAGGTTCATATGCCATTCGTTCCCTCAGGATCCTGGAGCCTATATGTACCACTGGTTTGGAATAAGGGTTTCCCAACTCCCCTAGTTAGATTCTCTGTATCCAGAAACCCGGTTAAAGCGTCGGACATTCGTTTTTTATCCTCTTTATTTCGTTAAACAACATTCTCACCGCGAGAGGCAGTGAGTAGGACTTTGCTGGCAGTAGCTGTATACGTGTGGCCATGTGAGAGATTTTGGAAAGGGAAAGCGGACTATCTTCACCCTCAGCTGTACCAGGGCATTTGGAGGCATATATCACTACTGCAACATTACTTCTTCACACAGAGAACAAAAAAAATACCAGAACTAATCTACTCAAATTATCATGGTGATAAATAATTAGTATTCATGTATATTTATTGTTACTTATTACTGGTATAATTGTCAAAAAGCACTGTGTGTACTAACTTGATCGTTTATGCTATAATTATGAGCTCTTGTTATATAGAAAGCAGAGGTTAATAAAAGATATTGAATATCAGTAATGTATATCGCGTAACTCCGCCTGCAGCCCCTTTTGTGTTACTGCCGGTCCCAAGCCCAGATAAAGGAGGAGGGTTGGGCATGAGGTTAGCCACCTCATCCCGTTTATTAACAGTTGTCTACACAAACGTATACACAAGGCTACATGGATCTCACCGGACCACACTACAGAGAACCAAATAGATCATATTTGCATCAACAAAAAATTCCGAAGGACAATGGAAGATGTGAGAACCAGGAGAGGAGCTGACGTAGCTTCAGATCACCACCTAGTTGTAGCCAATTTAAAACTGAAGCTAAAAAAGTACTGGACAAGTGGACAAACAGCACTACAAAGGTTCAATACAGCCTTCCTTCGAGATACTGGCAAACTCAATGAATTCAAGATAGCTCTCAACAACAGGTTCCAAGCCTTACAAGATCTACTGAAAGAAGAAGAAACTACTATGGAGGACAACTGGAAAGGCATCAAGGAAGCATTAACTTCAACATGTCAAGAGGTTCTCGGTCTAAAGAAATACAATCATAAGGAATGGATCTCTACAAAAACACTGGACAAGATCAAAGAAAGGAAGAACAAGAAGGCAGCAATAAACAACAGCCGAACACGAGCAGAGAAAGTCCAAGCACAAGCTGAATACATAGAAGCAAACAAACAAGTGAAGAGGGGCATCAGAGCCGACAAGAAGAAATACGTGGAAGAATTAGCAACGACGGCAGAAAACGCTGCTAGAGAAGGAAATATGAAACAGCTTCACGATACAACGAAGAAACTAGCAGGGAAATACAGTAAACCAAAATTCAACAACAGCGTAACAGATGGGTAGAATACTTCGAGGAACTCCTGAATAGGTCGGCTCCAATGAATCCACCGGACATCGAAGCAGCACACATAGATCTTCCTATAGATGTCAATCCACCAACTACGGAAGAAATTAGAATGGCCGTCAGACAAATCAAGAACGGGAAAGCAGCGGGACCCGACAACATACCAGCTGAAGCACTGAAATCAGACATCGAAGCAACCACAAGCATGCTTTATCTTCTATTCAAAAAGATTTGGGAGGAGGAACAAGTGCCGATGGACTGGAAAGAAGGACACCTCGTCAAGATTCCAAAGAAAGGAGATCTGAGCAAATGTGAAAACTACAGAGGCATAACACTACTGTCAATACCAGGGAAAGTCTTTAACAGAGTGTTGCTGAACCGGATGAAGGATGCAGTAGACGCCCAACTTCGAGATCAACAAGCTGGATTCCGTAAGGATCGATCGTGCACAGACCAAATTGCAACACTACGGATCATCGTCGAACAATCAGTTGAGTGGAACTCATCACTATACATCAACTTCATTGATTATGAAAAGGCATTCGACAGTGTAGATAGGAGGACATTATGGAAACTTCTTCGACACTACGGAGTTCCTGAGAAAGTTGTCAATATTATCCGGAACTCATACGACGGACTACAGTGCAAGGTCGTGCATGGAGGACAGCTGACAGATGCATTCCAAGTAAGGACCGGAGTCAGACAAGGCTGTCAACTCTCTCCCTTCCTCTTTCTTCTGGTGGTCGACTGGATTATGAAGACCTCGACATCTGAAGGAAAACACGGAATACAATGGACAGCTCAGAATCAATTAGACGATTTGGACTTCGCAGATGACCTAGCCCTCCTATCGCGTACACACGAACAGATGCAGATGAAGACATCCAGTGTAGCAGCAGTCTCTGCATCAGTAGGCCTTAACATACACAAAGGGAAAACCAAGGTCCTCAAATTCAAAGCGGAGAACAGCAATCCAATCACTCTTGATGGCGAAACTCTGGAAGATGTAGAGTCCTTCACATACCTGGGAAGCATCATCGATGAACAAGGAGGATCCGATGCAGACGTAAAGGCGAGGATCGGCAAAGCAAGGGCCGCTTTCCTACAATTGAAGAACATATGGAACTCAAAACAACTTTCAACTAATATCAAAGTGAGAATCTTCAATACGAACGTCAAGGCAGTTCTACTGTATGGAGCTGAAACTTGGAGAACTACAACAACCACAATCAAAAAAGTACAAGTATTTATAAATAACTGTCTACGCAAGATACTCAACATCCATTGGCCGGATACCATCAGCAATAGCCTTCTGTGGGAGAGAACAAACCAACTTCCAGCTGAAGAAGAAATTAGGAAAAGACGATGGAAATGGATAGGACATACATTACGCAAATCGTCAAACTGCATCACGAGGCAAGCCCTAACTTGGAATCCTGAAGGGAAGCGAAAAAGAGGAAGGCCAAAGAACACATTGCGTCGGATAATAGAAGCAGATATGAAAACGATGAATTACAACTGGACGGAGCTAGAAAGGATTGCCCAGGACAGGGTTGGATGGAGAATGCTGGTGAGCGGCCTATGCTCCTTCACGAGGAGTAACAGGCGTAAGTAAGTAAGTAAGTAAGTCTACACAGAATATTTCGTATCCGTTGGCCAAACACTATCAACAACAACCTACTGTGGGAAAGAACAAACCCAATTCAAGGGGATGAAGAAATCAGGAAGAAGCACTAGAAGTAGATGGGAGACACATTGAGGAAAGCACCCAGTTGCATCACAAGGCAAGCCCTCACTTGTAATCCTCAAGGTCAAAGGAGAAGTGATAGAACAAAGAACACATTGCGCCGAAAAATGGAGACAGATATGAGAAGAATGAATAACAATTGGATAGAACAAGAAAAGAAGGCCCAAGACAGAGTGGGCTGGAGAATGCTGATCAGTGGCCTACGTTCCATTGGGAGTAAAAGGCGTAAGTAATGTATGTTGCATATATATATTTATATTAGTCATCACATGGCTAATGAATCATTTTTGACAATTCAACACAGATCATAATTACATATCATGAATTTAAACAATAGTGTCAAAATGATCAATTGCTTCAAATATGTCAACTATATTTATGAAGATGAAACAAAAAACTATTCTTACTGATGGTCAGTCAAATAGATCATGATTAGCTTTAGGAATTGAATAGAATCCAATAGAGAAATAAAGGAATTAATGAGCAGGCTTCATTTGAATGACTTATTTAGACACCCTGTAAAACTGGCGTTTTCACGTCTAATCAATCATAAACAAACGTCTGATTGGCCAAGCGGTCTAAGGTGCCAAACTTAAGAGTGTTATTCTGGGGGTTCTGGTCCACGATGTGGGCGTGGGTTCGAATCCCATCCCCGACGCATATAAGGCCCCAAACGTCCTGGTGCGGATGAGGGTAGGGAGAATCAGCTCTCCCTTTCCAAATGCTCTCATTTGGCCACACGTGTACAACCACTGTCAGGGAAGTACTACTCACTGCCTTCTCGCAACATTACTGTTGTTTAAGAAATTGGGAGGAAGGAAAGAGAATGTCCAGCGCTTTAACCGGGCTCGTGGATACGGAGGATCCACCTAAGGGAGTTGGGAAACCTGATTCTAAACCAATGGTGCACATAAGCCTCAGTATTCTGAAGGAATAAATGGAGTATGAACCAATCGTTGGTCACCGGCTGCCATGGGACTGCATCTTCCGACGTCGCTCCACTGCCTTGTGGATCAGACCTTTAGGTCGTAGGCTCGGGTTGTGGCCCCCTAATAAAACCACCTGCTTCGGTTTGGGCACCGGGATAGTATACCAGCCCTCACACGAATCAAGTGACTTGTGTGGCGCATATGTATTCGGTGACCCTTTGTGCCAATATTTATGTGTTCAAATAAATAAAAATAAAGTGGATATAGAGAAAGCACCATTTTGGAGATGAGGGTTGTTGTTTCGATTAATTACAGTGACAATCAATGAACTGAAATCATTTCCTCCGTAGAATAATAGTAGTGGTCATCAAACATATAATACGATTATTTATCAGGTTCGTATCCGAAAACTCTCAACAATGCAAACACAAACAATCACTGGTTGATCTCAATTTTTGATTTAAGTTCCATCAATAATTTTCTAGCTTGGTATTATAGAAGATATAAAATTGTACATCAGACTGAGCATGTTTGTACAACCCGTGTCTTTATCATCTTAGTTGAAGAATTTTTAAAAAGCCATCAAACATACTGCTACACTCAACTTTATCAATTACTCAAAAAATAGTTTCATCATGCGAAAGGAACTGTAATCTTCCATCCAGTATTACGATATCGCATTGTGATACCATATAAATCTACATTTACCTGTCAGTCAGTCAGTCAGTAACAACGTAGAACTTCGTACGTACGTACATCAGTTCGAGTTGCCACACCACATTAGCACAGAGATGCAGTTGTCGATTCAAATCCCGTAATGGTAGAGGTAGCAAGAGTATAAGCAGTAATCGGGAAGATTAGGGTTTGGAGGAGTTATTTAAAGAGTATAATCCAGTGAAATAAATTTGGAAAGAGAAAAAAGAAAGGGACATGAAGAATTCAGAAGATTAGAATTTGGGAGAACACAAAGAGTGGATGCACCTGCGCCATTGCAAACGATTTTGAGCCATGTCATTCAGGGTCTCTAACCATCGGTTGCTATCATCTCGCGGTCCCCAACCAGGTAGTCTACACCTACCAACACGACTCAGTCCACTTGTCAGTGACTTCATGGACTTGTGCCATGTTTTGGTTTGGCCGCCTCTAGCTTTCTTCCAACCTACTCCTATACCATTGAACATAGTACGTCGAGGTAGTCGGTCGTTGGGCATACGTAACACGTGTCCCAGCCATCTCAACTGATGAAGTTTCACTACTTCATCAATTGATTTGCCATCCTTACCTGTATGGGTCAAACGAACTGTCAACAAGTTAACAGCTACATTTACAATTCCAAGGGTAAGTGCTGTATAAAAGTTCAAATTAATTTTCATTGGAGATAATAATTTATTATATCAGCTAATCGTCAGTCTGTTCTAGTATCATTCCATGATGTTCACGGTTATCCAACGACACAAGTTACATATACGTGATCAGTATCAGGATGAATAACATTTATACAGCTATGAATCACTATCTTATCAAGAAAAACAAATCTATATTGAAGATTATACCAGTTGCATAAAAAATTGTAATCATATCGAGAATATTATAAGTTTACTAACAAATTGTACATCTGTAACCATAGGTGTAAATGTTAAAACCAGAAACGACATATTTTAAGGTTTTAGCCCCCCACCCCAACCCGACCTCAAAAGAAACTGACACAAGTCTCAGCTGGTGAAATTAACACTAACTCTCACTATCGTTCAAAAATATGTAATACATGTAGGTTAGCAACACGAGCATATCATTAAAGTGGCAGCCCTCGAAAGTTTTTGTAGCCTATTTTACTGGCAATCCTAACAAGTTCTCCTCAGTTGTACGGCTTAGATTAGAAAAAGTAGACCTTTCAATTTGTTGGTAAGATAAATTGAAAAAAGCCTTTTCAATCTTTCATTACAATTAAACAGAAGGAAAACAGTTAATAAACACTGAAAACAACAGTTCATGCTTAAAAAAATTAAATCAGTGAAAAGAAACTATAGAAAATACGTAAGTATTACAAAATAGGTTAACAATACCAACGCTGATTCTCAATGCAAGATGCAAAACTTTACAACTGGAAATCATACTACTTACTAATTTTAAGTAGCAAAATGTTTTAACTGATCAATTCTAATTTTTTAAATAAACTCGATAAATATTCGGATAACCAAAATAAATATCGCCAAGAAAGTAGATCAGTCCACTTGAATGTTGATGGTTCTTTGCATAGATTATTTTTATATGACCAATTTAAGAATTCATTGAAAGAAAATCCCGTAAAATATATTTTAGATGATTTTAATTGTGTAATAATATTTAATGCTTTAGGAAGTAAAGGTTCCACTTGACTAAGTAATTTCATGATGCTTTCATTGGAATTGTATGAAGATTGATGACGATTTAGTTGGATCCAGAATGTTATCAACCGTCTTCTGTAATGGAAAAATTTATTATGATATTATTAATGCACACTTTATTTAGTACTTTCGGCGAGACTACAATTTATGGACGAACCAATCAAATTTAGGATTTCGGCGCAAAATTCACTCGCCCATTCGTTCGAATATCGCCTTGACATTTTAGCTCATGTCCGTTCGTGATTAAAAACCGTAAATGTAATTCCTCATCCTAACCATCCACTGTGAATTTTAATCCTTATTCGTCAAACTACTTTATAACCTACATTTAGCCCTAGTAAATAGGTAGAGACCCTCAAAGTCACTTTGGCATCTCTCAAAGGTCGTCCATAAATTATAATCTTACCATACTTTCTATATGTCTGATCGAAGTAAACAGTTCTCATCAATAAGTGCTTAACAATGTAACAGAATTACCGTTTTTATGAGCATTTTACTAGTGAATGTTAAAAACTATGTGTGAAAAGTTTGTTTAAACAGAAATTAATTGCCATTCATATTCATCTATAAATATTACTTATGAATCTTGCTTCCGTGATATCTCTTTGTATCAGTGAATCTAATTTGATTTATGTAGTCTTGATTTCTGTTAGAGGTTAGATTTATGAATTCTATAGTAATCTCCTTTCATTTTTCCAAATGACGGATAGATAGGAGAAAAGTACATGAACTACCATAAGATTATTTATTTGAACACATAAACACATAGATACAAGGAGGCACCGAATAGATATGCGCTACACAAGTCACTTTATTTGTGTGTGGGCTGTGATACTTCCGGGTGCCCAGACCGAAGCAAGTAATTTTCTTAAGGGGCCACACCTGGAGCCTTCGACTTAAAGGTCTGATCCACAAGGCCGTGGAGCATCGTAAGGAGATGCAGTCCCATGGCAGCCGATAACCAACGATTGGTTCATACTCCATTTATTCCTCCAGGATACTGAAGCTTATGTGTACCATTGGTTTAGAATCAGGGTTTCCCAACTCCCCTAGATGGACCCTCTGTTTCCACGAACCCGGTTAAAGCGCTGGACATTCGCTTTCCGTTCTCTCAATTTCGTATAGAACATTAATGCCGCGAGAAGGTAGTGAGCATTACTTACCTGACAGTGGCTGTATACGAATGGCCATGTGAGAGCTGATTCTCCCCAACCTCGGCCGTACCAGGACATTTAAGGGCTTTTCAATAAGATACGAGATATGTTCTAAGTATTTCATGGAAGCATGAACATACATGCGATTGTTGAAACACACAATGAATTAAATCAACCAAATGCGAAACAAGGAAACTTAATGGAATAATCGGAAATTTTTTTTAAAAATGGTGACTTAAAATGATCACTATGGTCAACCATTATGTTATAATTTACATAAATTACTTTTTTACTTACGCCTGTTACTCCCAATGGAGCATAGGCCGCCGACTGAGGATTTACATACACTAACTAGATATTACAATTTATGCACGACAGATGTGCATTGTTGCATGAACAACAAACATTTATTGGATTGTAATAGATCCCTATGATCAGTTAAAGTTTATATCATTGACAACCTGAGGATTTCGGGCAGTTGTTTTGTCTCAGTTTCATACACTTCAGAAGTGCACGCTAATGATTTTATCAGGGATGACAACCAAGGACATTTAAGTTTCATGGCGAGGTAGAAATCTTCAACTTTAATTTATCAATAATATGAACATAATGATAATCCAATGTTGTTTGCCTTACTTTATCTCAAGGTGTCTTTGCATCCACAAAGAGTAAATAATCCATCTCATTAGAATGATAACTTGGAATATTCTATCCCAAGTTGTACAGTAATTTCATTTGTGTAATGAATAAGAATTTATCATTCAAGTTGTAAGAGTAAGTGATAACTATCCAGCTGAATTTACTGTAAATGACAATCTTTTCCAAGGTGCCTATTACAATAGAGGTTGTGATAAACCTACTAATTATGTGTTAACTTCATTGAGACTGAACGACTAGTTAATGTTTATGATAGTTTTGATACTACATTTATATCAGATAAAGAAATTATTTTGCACCAAATCTAAGATATATCCATGAAATGTTTAGAAAGAGTTTGAATGATCCCACTTTTGATGTTCTCGACTGAATTTTAACCAGTTTTCTTAGGGACGTATCAACTGATAAGTCTTGAATAGGACAAAACGAGTGCCTTGAATTCCACTACTGATCACAACCTAAGTATTTCAATATACATCATGTCCGTTCTCAAACCAATCATGTACTATCTTTCGATAGCATTTGATTTAAGAACTGTTTCCTACTGTTATGGTCTAAAACAGATTACTAAAAAACTAAAGACTAACTAAATTACTAATTTGTAAACTTTAGATAAAGCTTTTTAGTGTGTATGTTATTGAGTCGTCAATAACTATAAAGCAAGAACTTTGGAAACGTCAATTATAATTATGTTTAATATATATCCATTAGACAACAGTCTATAAGTGAAAACTATAATGCTCCATATTCAAATGATGTGGATATTAACATTATAATCCAACAGGTCTTGACAATTAGATTATGGAGAAATATTCAATAAAGAACAACTGAAAACCAATATGACAATTGTCAGTAATCAGTCAGTCAGCTACAACGTAGGATCAGGTACATATGTGCATCGGTCCAAGTTGCTAAACCTCATTAGCACAACAAGATGAACAACGGATTCATAGAAGTAGTTAATTCAACTGTGGTAATATATAAAAGAATGATCGCAATAAGGATATAGTACAGGAAGAAAAAATTAGTTCGTAGAAAGAAAGATATGAAGCGATTTTAATTTCTTAGTTTAAGGGAAGACAGAGAGTGTATACACCGACGCCATTGTGATCGATTCTGAGCCATGTCACCAAGAGTCTCCAACCATTGGTTACGATAGTCACGCGGACTCCAAACAAGTAGTCTGCATCTACCAACATAGCTCAGACTAGAAGTTAGTGACTTCAAGCACTGATGCCACGTTTTACTTTGGCCGCCCCTTATGTTTAAATATACTAAGATTTTTCTTGCGGTTCTTACTTCAATCGACTCTTGTTATTTGGAATATAATTACGTCCCTGTTTAACAGTGTTCTGGTTTGGGAACTTGTTGAGTGAAGTAGTGTTGAAGATTACTAAGCAGTAAGAGTAGGTGGGGCGTAATAAGAGAAACTATAACACTCATGGACACTTGATTTCCGATCAAGATTTGTAAGCTGCTTTAGGTGGACCTCCTGTATATACTAAGCCAGTGTGAACCCCTCTCACTTTGTATAAAGCACTCCCTGTGTATGGAGCCTGTAAGCCTTCCTTGACAGAAATATGTAGGCATATGAAGATATTACGAGGGCGAACTTTCCTTACCCTTGGCCATATCAGAGGATTCGGGAATGGGTAGACCATAGGCGAATGTTTCGAATGATGGAGGAACATGAATTTTCGAGCAATACATAAAAGCATAGTTCGAATGTGAAAGAAAACATTTATGTATGTATACCATACAACTCACCTAAACATCCATACACATTCACGTTCAGGATAAAGTTCTAGAATGTCATGTACTTTTTCAAAATAACTTTGAATAATCCTTGTCGAGTTTTCTAACAGTAATTTTTGATCATCTAACATAGGAGATAATGCGACAACCATAGATTGACTGACTAATCCATCAAGGACACTTTCTAAATAACTCCAACCACTTATATCAGTTGGGTGTTTTGCTAACCAAACATTTAAATTATCCAATTCTATCTTATATATCTATTGAATACAGATAATAAAAAAACAAAAAGAGAGGATAGTTGTCGACCACTTACAGTGACTTTTACCAGCTCAAGTCGTTATACCCTATTTTGGCATAAGGAGAAAGGAAATTAACAAAAGTATCTGACTTTCAACCACACTTTAAGTGAAAAGGTTGGTTACTTAAACCAAAATAGGTGGAGCGGGGTTAAAACACGAGGCTTAGTGGCTGAGAGTAGAAAGTCTCAAGCACTGAGCCACTCTGCTCCAAATTGACAAGGTAATAATTAAACAAAGAGAAGATAAAAAAAAATTGAACACAGTTGAAAACTAAGCATGACAACTATGTTTCGAAAACGAAACAAATAAGGTTGGAAAAATTACTTACATGTATATCAATTGAACGATAGTGAGAAATACTGTACGATGTTCCTAAACCGAGTATAAATCTATTACACAACAGTTAAGAATCAAGTGTCTTATCCAATCTGTTCTGATGATTTACCGTCCATAAAAAGAGAGAGAGAGCAATGGTTTTTACAGATTAGATTAATCCTCCATAATGTGAGTGACAGCACAAAGATGTTGAATCGGCTAATTACATAAACAACTAATGTAGGCATTTTCCCATTTTATTTATTTAGTTATGCTTTTTTTTTCTTTGGTCCCTCATTATAATTTCACCATAGGCACTCTATTCTTCCACTTTTGATCTCCTTATTCTACTAATTACCAAATGTCATAACTAAGAATAATTCATTAGTATAAAGTTGTTTTTTCTCTGAGTACAATAGCTTCTGTTCAATAAGATACAAAAAACTTTTGGTTAAAGCAATTTAATTGTGTACTGAAACTATGTTCAGAGGAGAATATTGAAGAACTATTAATCATAGTTGGAAGATGTTTGTGGGCAAATGTTCCCCTCGTTTTATTAACGATTGTAATTATCAGTTTACATTTACATCCTAAATAACTTACATTGGAAGGATAGAAAGGACGGTTTTTGCATTTGAATCCACAGCTGTTATTACGTAACCTTCGACATACATTACCATTTTCAAGAAACGTGCCTCCATATGTTTTAAGATTCCTTCCTTAGAATTTTCAAATTTGGTAGCATATAAGCGTTTATTCATCCTAACATTTTGGAGTCCCTCCATATTTAATGCCTTCATCCTATTAATCTCCATTAATAGGATATGAAATACGTACTTTGGCTGTAAGTAGTTATTACCATTGTTTCTAGGTTGTAAGTAAGTGAAATGGAATCATGAAACAAATACATTCAGCTTATTCTTTTATGCTTTTCATTTCTGTTTCAATCAAATATATCAATGAGGAAAATGTTATGAAAATATGGGAACCAACTAATTATTGTCATTTAATACACGGTTATAATTCAGTGGCAGACTTAAAACAATAGACTTGTGACCAAGAGATGGGTTGAAATTGTGGAGCCAGTGTTTAAATAAAACTATAACAGTAATTACGAAGGGAAAATAGGAATGAACAATTAACCTCAGGATTTTGTTGATGTAATAGTAAAAACCGACGGTATTGCCATAAACCATAATTACAACGATATTTGTCCGCAAACTTATTACATAACTCCAATTCAGATAATAGAAACTTGTGATCATTTAGATAATTGTAACGATGAATAATCCATTGACTATTTATTGATAATCATATTAGAAGGATAAGTTGACAGATTAACAGAATTACCGGTGAAATATAGTCTCGTATGAGCGAGGATACTTGTTTAGAATCAGTTGAGTGAACCTTAGTTCTGCATCGACTGATACGTCGTTGTTTAATAGAGCTTTACGCCTGAAGTTCCAGAATGTTGTTGTGTTAGGAGATACTAGCAGAAGATAATTCAGCAAATCTAAAAAGAAATCAACAAAACATTTTGACTCACATAAGTCATGTATGAAACGTATTTGACTTAGAAATTTTATTTATTTAAACACATAAACATTGTTACAAGGAGGCAACAAATATATATGCACTACACAAAGTAGTTACCATCAGATTTGTGTGGAGTGGGACACTACCCGGGTACCCAAACCGAAGTACGTGGTTTTATTAGGTCACTTTCTTAGCCTCTGATCCACAAGGCAGTGGAGCAACATTAGCAGATCCAGTCCCATAGTACATGGTGACTAACAATAGGTTCATATGCTAATCGTTCCCTCAGGATCCTGGAGCCCATGTGTACCACTGGTTTGGAATAAGGGTTTCCCAACTCCCCTAGATAGAGGCTCTGTATCCAGAAACCCGGTTAAAGCGTCGGACATTCGATTTTTATCCTCTTTATTTAGTTAAACAACATTCTCACCGCGAGAAGGCAGTGAGTAGGACTTTGCTGGCAGTAGCTGTATACGTGTGGCCATGTGAGAGATTTCGGAAAGAGAAGGCGGACTCCCCCATTCTCAGCCGTACCAGGGTATTTGGGGGTAACTTCAAGAGTTCTAGGTTTCTGGATATTGTGTGAAGATTGCTAAATTCTGACAGAAATACTGACCTAACTGTGGTAGTTTCGGGATACAGACGTATTTCCTTCAATGTTGTGGAAGCAAACTCTAGTTGCTGCCATGATGCCCCCATATGTTTTTACTTTAAAACATACTCTAAATCTTCCTCAATTAGTTAAACTTTTTAACAGTTCATACTTTGAGTTGTGACATATGTCGAACGAAAGCAAAAAAACGTTGGGAAAAATAAAGGCGAAACCCTGGAAGAAAACTTGGTTTTAATTTAGGTAGCAGTATAACTAATTGTTGCTTATTCACATGCTCTGGAAAAATGTTAAGATACTTCCTTTGAATTATCTCCCATTGAAAGATATATTTCGAAATTCACTCCTTTATGAGAAGACTTATATTATACAAAACTGAATTCTTCATGTCCTTTTTTTTGTTTCCAAATTTATTTCACTGGATTATATTCCTTGAATAACCTCTTCAAACCCTAATGTTTCCGATTACTACTTATATTTTTACTACCTCTAGCACTATGGGATTTGAATCGAAAACTGCATGTCTGTGCTAACGTGGTATGGCAACTCGAACTGATGAACGTACGTACGAAGTTCTACTTTGTTACTGACTGACGGATGATATTTCTATGATTGGTGACCATCGAGATAACAGCGTTGGCTGATTTCAGACATTTCTATGGACGCTATTTCTGAGTTATGATAAACGGGAAACACTGAACTTAATTGTCACAAGTTTAGCAGACATGTAACTGTCGAATTAGTTGTCGTTATGTGATGCCCTGGCTTGCTCTAATGTTAGGTACACCGCTACATTAGGTTGTGACAGGTGCATAGTTAGGGATTGTTGTATAAATGTAAGAATGACTTTTCCAAATGGTGAATATACTTTGTGAAGTGATGAAAGTTTTCATCGACAGTCAACCCATCCACAATTATGGAAATTTTAACCTTGACTTACTTTCGGTGAACATGGTGCAAATGTTTCCCTTAGACATGACTCACATGGTATGCTTAAACATAGTGAAAAAGTTGGTTAACTTATGACTGAAATGAACTTCTAAATGACCAAAAACGATGATTAAAAAATTCATATAATTGTCACTTCGACTTTGGGTCCTAGCTGATACATTCCTTCAAACATCCAAAAATTTACATCTTAAACGATGTCTTACTTTGAAGAGAAGTAGAATGTATGTTACGCCTGCTTTGTTTGGGGCCTGTAGTGTAAGAAAACAACTTACCCTGACCCCTAGACTTCTTTGTTTAGCTATGTTTTTTTCACTATTGCATCCGAAATTACAAATCAGTTTCACTGAGTTGATAGATAGTTTGATAGATTCTCGCATTAAGTATGAAGGGTGTTAAGACGCTGAACACTTTTGTTTATGACACCGACGGTATAAATCTGAATAGGACTTTAGATTCTTCGTCGATCATTGCTTTAGTTTTATACGAGACATAATAAGCACAGTACTTCGTAGATACACTACAGTCAGATAGACTGTTCAGAGCTGTGTAGAAGAAACCCTTTATAGTAGGCTACAGATCAGTCACTAACACCGGAAACACAGTTACCCATTATTCTAATCAACAGGTTATGTACCAGCAGGGACACTAGGCTTACCTTCTTTATTACCGATGATGTAATATTCAAACACAAACCTAAATTATTTACAAATATTAACGACAGTAGACTGGTAAACTTAAGGTATCAAGTTGACTCCAGTATTTTTTCCCCAAAACACCGTCTTTAAGTGACATAGAAACATTTAAACGCTCAGTAATCATTAGATATAGATTTTTGTAACTGACGTAAAATGCAAGTGTATTTCTGTAAACCACTTGAATAATGAAGTTTTTATTCCCCTACTGTAGTAGGGAAAATATACATATATATACGTCTTTCTAGGTTAATTGTTAATTTTCATATTATCACATTTGGACTGTGAGATTACGAAATCAAGTTATCTCCACATTTTTCTCGCTTTACAACTAAAAACGCCGTAATTATTGCTTCGCTTAGAAAGGTGGTCACTGTTGCATCCAAATGGTAAGTGAACGGTATTGTATGCTTATGCTAACAGTACAGTATACTTTAACATAACGAGTTGAATCAATCCTAATGTGAATTGGTCTATCATGTGTCTGAACTCGAACTATTTCAGTCGGTCACCATCAATGTGAAGACTATCATGCATATGTTAATCCAGGTTTCTATGATCCAATGGTGAAGTTACCGTCGGATGTATAGTAAAACAGATTTAATAAAATAGTAATCATGATAAAAAAATAATACAATTGATAGCACGGCTCAGAAGGGTGCAAAAAGATGAATGTCAAGAAATATTGGATAACTAAGTCGCCGATCAAATTGAAACCAAGTCTTTTTATAAAGTTTTGTCTTCATTATTTGAATTTCCTTTGCGTTGGGTTCATGTCACAACTCAGGCAACCAACATATATATATATATATACATATATGACCAACAATTCGATAAAACTGTTAGTTTTGCGGGTCACCACAACAAAACACACGACTACCAAAACTGTCACGTACCGTCAGAAACAGGTTCCGATGTATTTGATTCGTATTCACCAAAGACGATAGTTGTTGTACACTTACATATCCCAAATGCATCATTACAAATGGACAAAGGTTTATGATCTCCTTCATCTATATGAGGTATTATATCGTATTCTGAACTATTTTTTCTGAATAATATTACATTTAAATTACAAACCATGTTTCAATGGCCTTCCGCAAGGAATTAAGGAAGGACTTAAGTTCAAGTGAGTCGAAGGTCATGCGGTGATAGTTTGAAGAGTAAACGACATCCAATATTTTTGTGATTAGTCAATACAAACAACAACACTAGTGCTTTCATGTCGTTTCAATAAATCTCACATAATATTTAGTCTACAACCTGGGAGGAAGTAGGCCAATGACATGTGGTAACGAATTAGGTATGAATTTGTGTATAAAAATCCACATTCGTCTGAATGTATTCTACACAAGCATGTTACAACTTATTAGGGTAAGGTATTTGATATGTTGACTGCATAATCAGATAAGAGAAGTTCATCATCTTGTGATGTTGTCGGATATGATAAGTGCTGAGTGCGGTAATATCACATGCTCTCACGTAAATCTAGTGTGTAAAGTCGTATAATTTGGGGTGTACACAGGGGTAGTATAAAGCATTTTAATGAGTTATTTTCAAAACAACTAACAATTCAGCCTAGGGAGATGCATAATCTGCCTATTTTTGCATCACATGTTCGGCTGCGTAACATCATGTACGTCAAACTGACTTGCACTGTGATAGATTATTGAGTGGTAGCCATGGTGATTTTAAGGCAAGTTTTATGTTCCTAAAGCTGATTATAATGTTTTAAAGATATGCATCACTAAGTGGGTTTATGATGAATGCATCCATCAATGTAGACCATCTTCAGACAAAAGAACTCCTGGAAATGCCACATGTATTTCGGATTTAACAACAACTTTACACGTATCATCTATATTATTTAAGTATACTAAACCAGTAAGATCAGGATTCAGATATGAAGTGATTCGAATATACATTTTGAGGTGACCTGATGGCTTATAGTATCCGTAATACTTCTGGACATCCTCTCAAACACCTACTTAAGCTTAGTTCCAACACTAAACTAAGAGGTAACACCCAAAAACTGGAGAAATAACATAGCAGAACGGACTGTAGACACGACTTCTACTCTTTAAGAGTTGTCAAAGGCTGGAATTCGCTGGCCGCCAAGCTAGTTCAAGCAACTTCTCAGGAGTCCTTTATGAGGCAACTTGATCTATTCTTAAGGACTTAGGATAGTATCGCATTATGATTTAATAATTTCTTTTCCTGTTTTATTGTTAACATACCTAGTTTCCTGCCTGGAGGATTTGGTGATCCCCTGCTACTAGACACAGAAGCTTGTTAAGCGAAAGCTTCTTTTGTTCCGTCCACAACCACTTGAACCATTTGAAGATTGTTGATATACTGAGAATCGTTTGATCTAAGCTGGCTAGTAGTTACAAGGAATGTATAGCAGAGCATACACACTCGTTATCTGGTGCGGATGCGTGACCGAGAGCTTTCAGCTAAGGTATGCCTACTGAATAATTGAGATCGGGATCAATGTTGGGGATTTACAGAAGTATTTATCATGTGGATTTATTTAACACAACATACTATTTGCCCACTTAAGTAACATGTATTTTCATAATGATAAGGTCTGCCAAGCAAACAAAATTGAACACAATAAACAATATTAGCAAAAGCCTTTTTCATGTTACTCATTGTTGTTTTAACCGTTTCACATGACAACAAGAGTTGTCGTTTTTTCGAAATTTTAAGGCAATTATGTGTCCATCTGGACGAAATCCGCACCCACCAATTACACTCGAAAATGATGATACTTTGACGCGGTTGCCCAAAAAAGAGGTATGTCCATCAATAGATCTAATTTTAGTGAAGCACAAAGTATTCAGTCTTCCTCCGCATTTGGCACGTTTGGAAGATCCTTGGAATAAACTTTGCACGCACCACACTCTTTCTAGTCTCAGACATACAGTAAGTTAAAAACGTAAACTTCAGTGTATACGAAAGATCGAATATTTCGATCCAGAGGCTCCAAACGATGATCTAGATTTCAGGTTAAAAGCAAACTATGACCAGCATATCCACTGGTGGAAGTCCAACGCTGAGGCTTTGATACAACTAGAAACATTAAGTAAAACAAAGTATGATCAAATATGTGTTTTTTTCGATGGCGTATGCACTGTTTTAAAATCCGTTTTCTTTAATTTTTAAACGTAATCTCCCGAGTTTGTGGGAAATTATGTCAGCTTTGTAAAAATTTCAGCTTTTGCTCAATAACTCACCAAAACTACTTCAAATTTCGGGAAAAAATACGATATTGTTGGCGATGTTTCGGAAAAAACTAAAATTTCTCCATGATCGGTAATCTGGAAAACAAGCGTGTTGAAGTATATTAAGAATCTATCGTAATAAGATGAAAAAGAGCTTATCAAGGTGGACTAACACGCAACTTAGAAGACTTGTTCTCGTTTACGAACACTCCATCATGTGGGGTTACCCTTATATTTTGATTTTAGCCTCTATGATTTTGTGTCATACGAAACGTAATACTAATTTGCGCTTTCCTAGACATGAGATATGGCTTATAGGTAGATCAAATTAGAATGGTAACGTAAAATACTAGTCTTATTCTTCTCAAATTGATACTTGTCACCTTTTTTGTGATGTTTGTCTCGCAAGCCAAAGCGTGCTGAATATTTAGTTGATTTGGCATATGAAAAGCATGTCGACGGATGTATTTACGATTAAGCTATATTATGCCCTGTCTTTAAACATGTAAGTCTCTGTACCGTCTTTTGAAGAAAAAGATTGAGATACACTAAGCGTATAAGGATGTCACTGGATGAACTATTGCAACGTTACTTCTAAGATTATGATCCACGTCACTGTTTTGATAAAGTTTCTTTACGACAAAATCGTTTTGGATATTGACTCATAACCGAAAAGTGGACTGTGCATTATCAAATTAAACCTACTCAAATCTACAAACTCTATGACGAGGCATAAAACAGAACCAGATAAAGAGAGGGGGAAACTAAAACAGATGAGTAATAAAAAGAGAAACAGATGTAGATTAGTGGGGTTAGACAGGTTGCAAATACTCAGGACTTTACAGTACTAATGTTTAAGTATCTTTTAATAAAATGATAACTAAACCGATAAAAGCGGAATTCCAGAGTGATCGAGTAGAGAGGTATATTTGAATCATGAACAGATGTCCCGTAGCGTCTAATATCTGGACTGACTAGCTTTAGAGAGAGATACGTGAATGGGAAGCCTAGACATATCAGTACTACTTCATTCATTTGACTGTTGGTGAAATAACTTCCCATTTACTATTAGTCTTCTTCAGAAGTTGATGTTCACACTTCTACTCAGAATTTAACTTAATACGTTTTATGCATTAAACAAGCATAGTACTTTACGCATCTTCAGAGTTGAATAGTCAACAAGTCTAGGTTAAGTAAATCTACAGCTTAGAGTAAAAGTCAAAAAACAGAAAACGGAATGATAGTGGTCAATTTAAAAGTGAAGTTTTAGATTTAGAAGTTCACGATTATATCCATCTATATAGTTATTATCAACTTTGGATTATTTTGCCATTATGTTTAGTCAAATAACGTTTATCATCCGAAGAAGAGCATATTCAAAAATTTACCATACTGCATTAGCACAGTAAGGTGAAATTATCAAAACAAACGCTTGAGTACAAAAAGTAGTAATAGCATCAGAAGTAGAAAGTACTATATTCGGACGGTATGATTCGGCACGAAAGAATTAATTATCATGATAGGAAGATCTGCGATGATTTCAAAACTTGAGATGTAAGGAAAGATAAAATATGAGTGAATTTGTGCCATTTGAACCAATTTTGATTATTGTTCTCTGATGCCTTCAGCCATCAACAAAAAAAACAACGCACACTCTAAGCAAGTAATGTTCTTCCACCGATATGACTCGGACAAGTTAATAATTTCTTCATTTATTGATTTCATTTGTTGGTTTTTTCGCACTTAGCCTTCTTTAAAATTACCCTCCAGCTATTAACTTATCAGTTCGTCACTAATGAACAACATAAAAGATGTGAAATGACGCTCTTTTATCATTATCGAAATCTTAAAAATTGAATATATCTCTTTGTGTATTGTTAAATTTTTGTTTTTAGGAGGGTGCTTAAAAATCGACCTCTAAAACCTGTAATTATACGTCCCCCACCAAGTCAACCATTTACAATATGGACAAGTGATTGTAGAGAACGACTTGAACATGTTTCAGAAGCAATCGGTAATAAAAAAAACTAGTGATATCTTTATTTAAGTATAAGTTTGTATAGTTGATGTCACAATCAAACCCCAGTTAAAATATACCTTTATATATTACCTTCCGAAAAATATGTAAAAAGCAGGCCCTTGTACATAACACCGATGTAGGAGCCACGTGTTACGTATGCCTGAACGCCGATTACCACAACGTGCAATGCTAATCGGCGTTCGGGATGGTTGGAAGAAAGTTAAGGGCGGTCAAACCAAAACGTGTCATCAGTGTTTGAAGTCACTAACTTCTAGTCTGAACCATGTTGGTAGATGCAGACTACTTGGTTGGGGTCCGCGTGACTGTCGTAACCAATGGTTGTAGACTCTTGGTGACATGGTTCAGAATCGATCACAATGGTGTAGGTGTATACACAATTTGTCTTCTTTTAAACCATGAGATTAAAATCGCTTCACATCTTTCTTTCTACGAACTAATTCTTTCTTCCTATACTATATCCTTATACAAAATCATTCTTTTATATATTACCATTATTGAATTAACTACATCTATGAATCCGGTGTTCATCTTGCTGTGTTAATGAGGTATGGCAACTTGGATCGATGCACATATGTGTCTGATCCTACGTTGTAGCTTACTGACTGTACATAACATATCACCTAGCACGTATATGTATCAGTTGCTATTCATCATATCAACACAGTGAACAAGTCAAAATAAACTACATGAGATACAGAAAAGAATAATCTAGATACTGAATTAGAAAAGTAAAATGTACAATTCGAAAAGAACAAATGAAAAAAAGATTTGATCGCCTTCATAATTCGTTCTTTGTGTATTTCAAAATAAGTTTATCAGTTTATATTTGCCATTTTAGAGAATCCAAAAGACGTCAGCTGATAACTGCTGACAATGTTGAAATAAACTAGAACATCCATACTATTAGAC